CATCCAAACATTGTTGGGTAGTAAGTACTTCATTTTGAAAAGGTGTTCATTTCCGGCCGCCATCTTGGATCCGCCATATTGGATGTAAATTTTTTTTCAAATGTAAAGCTTGGGTTGTGACCCATTATTTCAAACTATAGTGGAATAGAATACAGAATAGGACCGGAACCAGTTCGAGTCGGGTGGGGCGGGGCATGTGGCATCCAATCAGCTTATAGAAAACTGTCCACTGTTGCCAAGTTGTGCCACGCACTCAGTCAGTCTCTGCCCGATAGCCGACCTGTGCGTTTTTAGTATACCCTCCTGTTTTGTCAAGAATTCGTCTATGAACTGTGTTTCGCCCAATGAATACGGACAACAGTACGCGACGTGGACGACCACGAGTACACGTGAAACGTTTGCGATATCGTAACGTCGGACGTGGTGTTCTTTTACGTAATGCAAATATCTTGATAGGCCTATATAAAAATGTCATTGTCCCTTAAACATTTTATTTAAGTTTCATACGTCAATATTTTCTTTTTTAAATATTTTTATGTAACAATTTCCAGTGCAATGTAATAATATTTTCTAATAAAAATAGTTATGTCATTTTCGCAATAAATTGGCAGTTATGTTATCTATTTCCCTTTTTACCTGGTATGTTTTTCGAGGATTTCTAGAGTACCTACATTAGAAGTTTTTTTTTTGTTATAGAAGAGTGAATATATCGTATGATTATTTTAATGAATGCAACACATAAATGTATGTAAACGTTAGTTCAATTTTCTTAAATTCAATACAAAACTAACGGACTTTTTTGTCAAATCACAATATTACAGAAACGTCACTATTGATCTACCTGTTCTCCGTAAGTTTAAGTTTAGTCGAGTGGCATTTCCATGTCATTTCCATGTTAATTTGTTTTATGTATCAAACTATAAGCAGGGCAACAATTTACAAGATTTTTAAAACTGCTATAAAAGTTTTTGGACCATTATGTATTAATTTGCTCTTATTGTTACGGTGATTTGTTTAAAAATTGGGGTTTGACAAACGTTTGACTATAGGCAACATATTTCCAGAGCCTTGTAAAGGTGACCCTATATAAAATGTATTATCAATTTATATTTATTAATTCTTTGTTAATATATTTTTCAAAAACTAAATCTAGTAGTGGTTTAAGTCATTAATTGTGCAAATAATCTATCCATAATCATTTAAGGGATGAATGTATCTTCCATGTGATATAAACATGACAACACTAACCGATACCGCCAAAAAATTAATAATTTCTAGTGTTAAACTACCCTACAAGTGGGAAGACAGAGTCAGAGGGATGCCCGCGCCCGCTCCCCGGCTCTAGGTGAAAGTCAGCTCACCAGCCAAGAACGAAGTGGCAACGTCGCATCCCCTACCTCCTCAGAGGCCAGTCCTATTCTGTATTCTATTCCACTATAGATTTTTACCCTGATTGCAATGCCACAAACCGTTTTTAAAAATCTTGATCCATTCCAAAGTTATGAGGGGTTTTTAAAACTTTATTTTTAGCCCATTTTAACATACACTACCAGTCATTGTCGACCTATTTTCACTTGGTTATGATTGATGTATTTTTTGTTGGCCGCCATATTGGATCCGCCATTTTGAAATGTGATAAATTATTTTAAATATGAAGGGGGTGTTGTGAGCCATAATTTCAAATTCATTTTTTAAGCTGAACTCAATGCCGCAATCCATTTTTTGTTATCAAGTTATGAAATATTGCATTTTTTTTGTAAAAAATTTCAATATTTCAAAATCAAAATATGAAAATGAAAAACGGATCATGGAATTGAGTTCAGCTTAAAAAAGTCGTTCGAAATGATGGGTCACAACACCCCCTTCATATTTAAAATAATTTATCACATTTCAAAATGGCGGATCCAAGATGGTGGCTGAAAAAAATACACCTGCCATAACCAAGTGAAAATAGGTCGACAATGACTGGTAGTGTATACTCATCTTTATCTAGCACTATTTTGAGATTATGGTCTTGGTATGTAAATGCACAATTTTAAAATGGACTACAAATAAAGTTTTAAAAACCCCTCATAACTTTGGAATGGATCAAGATTTTTAAAAACTGTTTGTGGCATTGCAATCAGGGTAAAAATCTAGTTCGAAATAATGGGTTACAACCCCACCTTTACATTTGAAAAAAAATATTTGGTATCCAATATGGCGGATCCAAGATGGCGGCTGGAAATGACCACCTTGTTTAAATGAAGTACTTACCACCCAACAATGTTTGAAAGTGGTCTGGGATTGATGTTTGAAAAAATGTAGAAAAAAGTTGGGGGGAGACAATTAAAACTCACCCTGTATATTTATATAGGCTATATATATACAGGGTGTTTTTTTTTTTTAAACTTGCATCTTTATTAATGTAAAAACCGCAATAGATAGAAATATGCAGTTTGCGGGAATCATCTATTGACGTAGGGGGCCCAATTGTTTTGAATTCAACGTTACATTTACATTCCCCCCCTTTCCTCCCTTGCCACAAACTTAATTTTTTTTAATAGCAAGGTACCCCTTGTGACATATCAAATGAAAGAGCATGAAAAAAGAAAATGTTTGATGAAAAAAAAAATTGAAAATCGGTTCATAAATTTTTGAGATATTTTGCCCCCCTCTCCCCGGAACTTAATTTTGTTCAATAGCAAGGTACCCCTTGTGACATATCAAATGAAAGAGCATGAAAAAAGAAAATGTTTGGTGAAATTTATTTTTCATTTGATATGTCACAAGGGGGGGTACCGTGCTATTAAAAAAAAGTTATGGGTAGGGGAAAAGGGGGGGGGGGGTTATCTCCCAAATTCATGAGCCGATTTTAAATTTTTTTTCACCAAACATTTTCTTTTTTCATGCTCTTTCATTTGATATGTCACAAGGGGTACCTTGCTATTAAAAAAAAATTAAGTTCCGATGGGTGGAGGGGGGGGGGGAATATCTCACAAATTTATTAACCGATTTTCAATTTCTTTTCATCAAACATTTTCTTTTTTTCATGCTCTTTCATTTGATATGTCAAGGGGTACCTTGCTATTTAAAAAAATTAAGTTGGTGGCAGGGGGGGAAAGGGGGGAATGTGAATGTAACGTTGAATTCAAAAAAATTGTGCTCCCTACGTCAACAGATGATTCCCGCCGGGACCGCGTCTCGTTGTCCCTCCGTCTAGTTGTACCTACGTCTACTTGTACCTCGAGGCCTAGGGACAACTAGTCGTAGGTACAACTAGACGTAGGTACAAGTAGACGGTGGCTCACCCGACTAGGTGTACCTGCAGATTTTTAGGAGGTATAACTAGACGTAGGTACAAGTAGACGTAGGTACAACTAGACGTGTATCCCACCGACAAGTAGTATCACCTAGCTTGTACGGATGCGACCAGTTGTCCCTACGACTAGTAGTCCCTACGACTAGTAGTCCCTACGACTAGTGGTCCCTCCGTCTAGTAGTCCCTACGTCTAGTTGTACCTAAGCGTATTTTGTGTCCTTATAGTCTAGTTGTATCTATCCTTCAATTCGTTACCCTGTTTAATTGATTACTGCACGAGTACTTTTTAATAATACCCTTAATTAAATCAGGAACTGCAGTGTTCCGAGTCGACTGAGTATGATTGGCAAATATTTTTCACCTCAATACGATGTTTTAGTAGTTTTACAGACAATTGGAGGCTGAAAGCTACGCATTGCTGTCCAGGGTCGAAATGGCAGCTATAGTTGTGATTAAAATTTTCCAGCCCTAGTACCGAAAATCGCTTATTTAATTAAAACATTTATATATATATCATTAAATATACAAGCAGTATATCCCTAATGAATTGCAATAGACCGCTGCCCAGCAATTATGTATTACTATTTTTGCTGATCCCTTTAAATATTTGTTCACATAACCTTAAAGTATTTGCATTGATTTGTGTGCATTTCTTATAGTTTACAATGGATTTCCCAATGAACAATGAACAATGAAGTGTACAATGAAGTTGAGGTCCAGCGGTTGAAAACTCGACAAAAACTATGCAATGTACTACACATACTTCTCCATTTAACATACACTGTAATGTTTCTCAATGAGCTGCAGACAAGCCAAATTTTCCTGGCTTTTGTAGCAAGTTGTTTATAATAAATTGTCATAAGATTGTATGACTTTTAAGGAAATCAAATAAATCCCTTAAACTGGTGACAAGTTGAAGGGGAGATACAACTAGCCGCAGGTACAACTAGACGTAGGTACAAGTAGGCGTAGGTACAACTAGTCGTAGGTACAAGTAGTCGTAGGTACAAGTAGTCGTAGGTACAAGTAGTCGTAGGTACAAGTAGTCGTAGGTACAAGTAGACGCAGACGTATGAGGTACAAGTAGACGGTGGCGTTCCCGACTAGTTGTACCTGTAGATTTTTAAGAGGTACAACTAGACGTAGAGACAACTAGACGTAGGTACAACTAGACGTCCGCACCATCGTCAAGTTGTCCCTACAGCTTTGGACGGGGTACAACTAGACGCCTGTCACCAAAATGCAGCAGGTACAACTAGACGCAGGTACAAGTAGACATCGCCCCTTCCCGCCAACTGCATAGTTCTATCTATTGCGGTTTTTACATAAATAAAGATGCAAGTTAAAAAAAAAAAAAAAAAACGCCCTGTATATATATAGCCTATGTAAATATATATATATGAATTTGAACTGATGGTGTTTTTGGCCTCTGGGGACCTCAAAACAAAAAAGTAAATCAGTCCCGAGTCTAGGTCTTACCATGAGACCTATGGACCTAGGGAATAGCTTATTCCCTATATGGGAAATCAACTAAAAATAATAAAAATATACGTCTAATTACACTAGTAATAATATATTTACACTTATACTATTGACGCACAAGACGGTAACTACATATGAAAGATGGTACCGGTAGCCTAAGTTGTGATCGATTTTTGTTTGGGAGTATGTCTACATTATTATAATTTCATTGTTTCAGAATCATAATATCATGACAGAGAAGGAGGCCAAGCCTGGAGATGGGATTAAGTCTTTGAAAACAAGTTCAGTCTTTAGGGTTGTTAACTTTGAATTGTACGCTACACCAGTAAGTATCAATGATCCAATAAAAGTTACTAGTTCATTGCATATTTTTGTTTTATGGATCATAAGGGCTGCATAGTTAACTTAGTGTGATAAAAGTTGTTGTATCATTAGAGTAGACTAGTGACAGCGTGTGTGCAATGTTCTATGAAATACACTTACATATAAACGAAAGCCTACCATCAATTACGTTTGTCAAAGAATACAAAAAAGTTAAGTTTAAATTTGCTACACAAACACACATACAATATATATTTATTCAAACTGGTTTCCAAGGCTGCTATTTGATTTAACTTAGGCCTAATAAAAATGTCTGCAAATGGGTCTGCCCTGAAAATAACACAATAATGATATTCTAAAGAATATCTAAGGTTAGGAGAAATAGAAAGCCAAAATCGGACAAAAATTACTCAAGTTATCACGTTTATGGGTACATATATATATATATACATTATATAAAAAAATTATATATATACAATTTTGAACGAATGGTGTTTTTGGCCTCTGGGGACATCAAAATGAAAAAGTAAATTTCCAGTGGCGATTACGTGGAAAATCATCATATTAGGTTGGCAACACTGCCGCTCATGCGCTGTAAGTTCCCGCTCAGTCTAGTGCGTTCTTCTGTGCCTGTGTTCTGCAGTTAGTTGTCGTTACTCGTTATTTAGTGAGGGTGTCCTCCACAATGTCAAAGAGGAAAGCTTCACAAAGTTAATTAATAACAGATTTGTTTAGAAAGGGTCACTCTTTCCATCGCAATAATTTTACCTACAGTCAGGGCATGGCACGAAAAAAATATTGGGGGGATACACTTTGAATTTCCCAAGTATTTTACGTGGATTTCTCAACTATATTACACGGATTTCCCAACTATATTACACGGATTTCCCAACTATATTAATATCGAGTGAATCATATGACGATGTCCATTGCAAATTTTGTAATTTTGTTCATTGACTAATATATGTCTTATTTGGACTCAAAGCCCCAAAGCGCCCATTCTATAGCATTGGAATGACGTCATGGCACCCTCAGCGCTGTTCGGTTGATCTGCCATAAGACTAGCCTACATGTATTGGGATTGGAACGGTCTGGCCGCCGTCCACGCCATCCTTACCAAGCAAGCAACGATCAAAAATAAGCTATTACTGAATTGAATTATCTAATTATTTGATATGTGTAAAGAAAAAAGAAAACTTTGCCTTCTAAATTTATATATTTAAATATGTATTTAAATATGTGTTTTACTCTCCTTGTTATCACCTCAATAACTCACTGACGATTTAATCTTTACAAATTTTGGTTGCCCCTGGGTTGGAAGAACTGTGAATAATATAAACAACAGAGCGTTTGGCAGTGGAGGCTTGATGTTAAAAATAATATTTAAGTGGGCTCTGTAGAATAAAATTATCCCCAGAAGTCCTTATGGGACGTCCCTGGCACTGTTTGAAGTTCTTCCAAACTGAAATAAATCTTAAAGTACACTGAATTTACTCTGCTCACTACCACACTAAATCTAGTGTTGCACTTCAAAGGTGAATCTTTTGTAGTGGCCTTTTATTTACTGCATATTACCAAACTTCTATTGAATGACTGTTAATGCTAAAAGAAATACCCAGGATATTGAGAACTATGAAAATATATAACAATTCAATTTATTTTGCAGTATAAAAACATTTACACTATATTATTCCATCATTTAATGTCTAATTTACGACTGTCTGAAATTTACCAACAATATTAAATAATAAATGAAAACCGGCTTCGAGTGCAACAATCAATTATAAGTTTTAATCAAAAAATGATGAATGAACCCATTGAAAGGGAAGTATGTGGCACGATTACACACTGATCCCGAATATGCCAAATTGGGTGTGATATTTAATTTAATATTTGAGATGACCAGTACCAGCAAAATCCTTCGTTGGCCAACGATTTAAAAAACGAAGGTCGAGTCTCGTAGTCCAACCTGATTAAACAGTGTTCTGTATAATCACAATAATATGTGCTAGAAGATTGCTTATTATTTTATGACTAAACGGTACTTTGGCGGTTCATCTATTAACAAACACACACACTACCCCAATTATAGACATACCAAGAACAAAACAACCTGCGCAGAAACGAAAAGATCACATGGTTCGCGCCGGTAGGTGTGGCGTACCATTCAAACCTGCAACGGCCCAGGGTTCTTTTGTTTCCGGTATTACTATAACACCTCCGTATCTAGCCGAACCAGCTGCCTACCTCCACTTTCAATATTATATGATTTTCCCCAAATAAAATAATGGCTGTTGCACTCTTAATTAATCTCTGATTAAAGATCGCAGCAAAAATTAAACAAATGACTCTGTTAATGAATTTGTTTTAATAGAATAATTTACAAGTTACTATTGGATCATTGACAATTTTGCCTCTGAACTGTTTAAATGTACATTGTTTCAATATCATATGTTTTACTTTTTATATTAAGCTGTGTTCATGTTTATGTTTGTGTGATCAAAATAAAAGTGTGAATTCCTTTCTTTAATATAATTTGTTTCTCATTAATTTAAAAGTTTATTCTTATAAGTAATCAAGAGAAAGAATGCCTTGGACAAGTACGTATCAATAGTTACATCAAATATAAATACAAAATCCTGTACAATTTAATTGGTTCGATATAATAAGACAATCACAGTTTAATATGCAATACAGATTGATATACCAGGAATGGATATTAAAGATACTAATGAGGACTTGAACCTGAAAACATGTACTAATATAAAAAGATGTAACAAACTATATCAGGAAAATTCTACACCATGTGCGACTCAGTGAAAACTACGAATATAACAATAAATAACACTAATTACTTACAAATTTCGGACGTCCTACAAAGACACAAACACTGAGGTGTGGGAGGGGAATACGGAATTAGCTGAGCTTTTCCCCAAAAAACGCGATTGAACGATTTGGTCAACGAAACGTGAATTTTCAATAGCGGTCTGTGTTTGCCGGTAAAGTTACGTTACAACACTTTCTTTTTTTCAAAACTGATTTTATTTGCACCACGCGCGGCATATATATCCCTGCGGGATATAGGCTTAACGATTGATGAAAATAATAACTGTCCGGACAAACACCGCGGATTGAATTTAATTTGCACGATCGATTTTCGATAGCTCAACTAATACACGTAGGACGGGAAGGAAACGACAACGACTGAGAGACGAAGAACTATCCATAGCTGGCCAATTTTACCCCCACTCCTCGTAGTGCATTGTGGGTGCTTTGCCTATTGTTCCGATCAGCTTACTATCTGTTTGTGTTTACTCATATTAATTTGTTGTAAAAACACAACAAATCGGTACATATGTTTATATTGTACTACAGTAGAACCTCTTTAATCCGAACGTCCACTAATCTGAACGCCTCATTGCTGTACTCTATACACAGTACAGTAGTTCTATATTGTATGTATACTGTATTTATTGATATAAGCACCGTAGTTATTTCAATTGTAATGTATAGTAGGCCTACTGTTTATTCCTTATGTCTACTACTGTATTAAATAAACACTGTATTTTACTTAAAAAAGCATTTTCACTTTTCCCTAACTTTGTTATGTAAAAACAACAATATGTTCTGTAATCCGAATTATTCAATAATCCGAACTACCCCCGGTCCCAATTAGTTCGGATTAAAGAGGTTCTACTGTACTTATATTAGTTCTATTTTTAGTACTAATTTTAGTAGTATTATTTTGTATACAAAACATATTGGTTTAAGTACTCGTTAAAGTAATTTTAATTTAATTTAACCTAAGAATATTTAAATGTAGTTGATTTATGTATTGTTGGGAGGGCGGCGTAAGAGAGTCCTTTTGGGCTAGCCGCCACAACTGACAATAGGAACTAGTAATTGAGTTTATTTTAGGATAACATAGCTGATGAGCTGCTTTCATTTGCAGAACCGAGTGGTGATGGGGCTCGGGTTGTTGGCTCTAGCTGGATGTGTTAGTTACATAGGCTACATGAGGCACAAGTACGCGGGTATGGGCTACTACCCAGCCATCGACAATGAGGGCAAAGAGGTTTACAAGCTCAAACAATCTAAATGGGATTAGCTTGTAAACTAATCAACCTGTATAGTGTTATCTGTAAATATGTATAGCAAATAAAAACAATTTGGTTTAAATACTGACACACACTTCCTCCTCATTTACCTAAAACTTAAATAAATATGTTTTCCCACTATACAAATAAGAAATTGCATTTTTTCAACATCTTCATGTTAAGAGAATAAATAATGAACTAAAGGCATCATTAACCCCATTGAATTGACATATTAGTATTTTTATTACTTAACTAGCTGCTGGACCCTGTGCTTTGAAACAGGGAGGACACTGAAGCGAAAAATTTGTTCTTTAAATCTGGTGTATGAAATAGATACATCCACCTTTGGTTTCAGAAACAAAATTCAATTACACATCTTAATCTAAACAAATATTTTTCTTAAAGCTAGGCTAACTTTGGTACAAATTATATGAGGTGCTGATGCATGTATGAATATTTTAAACTACTGCACATGTTGCTCAAAATCGAGCAATTGCAAAGTATTACCAGGAGTTACTTGAAAACGAATAACAGTAATAATTTCTGATGAGTTTAATCAACTCAAAGATTATGTAACTAATGGAAACTAGTGGCTTATAGGGACATAAGTCCCTAAAAAGCTCAAATGTAAAACCGCTTGTTGTAATATTTAAACAATCTCAGAATCAAATTATCTGTGTCAGGATAGGTATCCCTCTGTACACCATATTTTTTATGTAAAAAACAGTTTGTTGTTCATCTTTGTTTGCTTTTGTTTATGTTATTTTCAATAAATAGTTAAAATTACTCCAGTGGTTTAACTCTGCTTAAGGCAGCAAACATGTTTGTGAATAAATATTGTCATTTTTTATGTTAGCCTCCGGATTACGTTGAATATATAAATTGGTTTAAATACCTGCTTTCTAGTAATCCAATAGTCGACTATTGGATTACTAGAAGCAGATATTTAAACCAATTGAATAAATATTGGTTTACTAAGGTAGCTTTGGTCTTTTAGTTAATGATGATAAAAAGGCTTCCCTAATTGAAATACGGAATTTGTATTCGTCAAATATGAAAAGGCAAATAAAGGTGTGTTGAGATAAGCTTAGTTCTTGGTCAAACCCGCTAAATTAGCACCCTGACCCAGTTATTATTTCTATGTTTATGCTCCTTTTGTAAAGGTTTAATAAAATTAGTGTAAAGTAAAGGCATCCCATTAACTAAACTTAACGCCAGTTTTCTTTCTGATCAACATAAAAAAACTACTATTAGCCTAGTGTATACTATTAGATTATGTGATGGTATTCCTCCTATAAGGCGTGATTGACTTTACATATTCTATAAAAAAGGGCCTAATCAATGGCTGATCCCTAGCTATTTTGTGACTGGTTAGGGTTCCATTACCCAGTTATCAAAACCGATTACCAAATTGCTTTTTATCAGAATCTTCGACATGCATATTTTTGGTTTGTTTTAAGAAACGGAAACTACTTCTACTACTAAATGTATGGATGCTCCTATTACCACCAAGACAGGAAATGCTAGGCTAATTTCAACCTGTTTTGCTTAGAACAACAGACACTACCTATTTAAAATCTCCAAACAAAACAATATTGTTTTTCCACCCGTTTGGAACTTGTCATAGTGGGCTATTACTTTATGAACAAATATATTGCCTGTATGAATCTATTTCATCTTTATTCCCAAGTTGTGTTCTAAGAGTGGCCATTGAGGTTATTCCACTTAATACAAAATATTGATTAAACAATACAACAAATCTCAAAATAAAATTTTTAGTAAATATACACAAAATTTTTAGAATAAATCTTTAAAATATGTTTTGATATCAAAACCAAAACAAAGCAGAAGTTTTCCATTTAATCTTGAATAGTTTATGTTTGGTTAGTGTAAATGTGAATATTTCATGTTAAACTTTTCTTCAACAACCTTCAAATTCAAAGAAAAAACTTGATTATTTTTCCAGCCTTACTAAGTTCAATTCCTTTGATAAAAGCCATCTCCTATGATTCTAATACTTATCATACGCCTAACTAATTTACTTAAAAATACAAGTTTGCAAATTGCTCAGTAAAACAATTGATTTCAACTTTCCAATACATAACTAAAAAGTGTCTTAATTATTATAGATAACGTTATCGCTGGTTTTATATAGCATACAGTACATTGCAGAATTGACTGGCAAATGAGTAGTCAAAATGAAATATTGTTTACTGGCTTAATGATAAATCTTGATCAGCTGTATTGAAGACATTGAAGTAAAATTTGGGGAGTTTCACTATTTTTCCTGCCGTCACGGGATCGAGAGCTTTAATTTGAACCTCTCCCGTCGTTCTACAACTTCCCAGTCGCCCACAATTTTGAAGCAAAGAATCGGCTTACGTAATTAATATATAGATACTCACGATGTTCATAACAGTTCAGCGCCACTCATCCTACACTCGCCATTTCATTGAAAAGTATTAAAGTATTAATATAACACGCTCTTTCCAATGAGACGTGAATGGTCAAAGTTCGTTAAGAAATGGCGGAGGAGTTCAAAGGACAAATTTTGTGTTGGCATATTAATAAAATAGATAGATACTACTATGTTTAATAGGTTGAAAAATGTGCCTTTAGTTTAAAGTCAATAGGTCAACAAAAATCACACAACATAGGGTACTACTGTATGATACAAAAAACTGTTTATATTGATCTTGAGTCTCACTAATCAACATCATTCTGGTAGTCTATATAATTTTAAGATCCGGTACTACTTTTACCATCGGATTGGACCGTTAATACCCTCTAACATTGAACCAAAGTATGTCCAACTTTATATATACGACGTTAACACTGCTGTTACATAATTGGTCAATGATGCGACCAAGTGCTGATGCATGATTTAAGTGACTATCTTTATTCCATACAACAAATGTAATGAACAAAAATCAATGAATGTAGGAATCGGGCGGTTAAACTAGTAGTATGTGATAACTTTTCTTTCATACATGTTCTTACATTTGAATTTTAATCACATTATACTTTTTTGTCACACTAACTTTGGACAAAGCAATTGTAGAAAACTGCCATTTTGGAGACTTAGTTTACACAAATTTTTTGGTGGGGTACCCCCAAACCTCCCAGACCCCCCTGGTTCGCCCCCCCCCCCCTTGTGGCTGTTCTAGATCCGACACTGTATAACTGTAACCGCCGCTGTGTTGTAATGAGAAGTTGTATAACCATGCATTTTACAGGGTTTTGTTTGTGTTATCCGCCACTGTATAACTGTACCCGCCGCTGTGTTGTAATGAGAAGTTGTATAGCCATGCATTTTACAGGGTTTTGTTTGTGTTATCCGCCACTGTATAACTGTACCCGCCGCTGTTTTGTAATGAGAAGTTGTATAGTCATGCATTTTACCGGGTTTTGTTTGTGTTACCCGCCCCTGTGTTGTAATGAGAAGTTGTATAGCCATGCATTTGACAGGGTTTTGATGTTTGTGTTATCCGCCACTGTATAACTGTACCTGCCGCTGTGTTGTAATAAGAAGTTGTATAGCCATGCATTTTACAGGGTTTTGTTTGTGTTATCCGCCACTGTATAACTGTGCCCGCCGCTGTGTTGTAATGAGAAGTTGTATAGCCATGCATTTTACAGGGTTTTGTTTGTGTTATCCGCCACTGTATAACTGTACCCGCCGCTGTGTTGTAATGAGAAGTTGTATAGCCATGCATTTTACAGGGTTTTGTTTGGGTTATCTGCCACTGTATAACTGTGCCCGCCGCTGTGTTGTAATGAGAAGTTGTATAGCCATGCATTTTACAGGGTTTTGTTTGTGTTAAGTTTTTTTTTTTTTTTTAGACTTATAACGACCTCCTATGAGCCATAGATTTTACGTCCAACTTGACAATGACGCCATAGATGTCAAAACCGGTCGTATTATAGACAACTTTAAGATTACTTGGACAGAAAAAGGTACTTGACATCTCGTATACTTATACCGGAAGGCAATACACTAAATGAGACAATATGCAGTTGGGCGCATGACATCTCAAATGTGTTAATATTTCTTAAATCTTGCCTTACACCGGTTTGTGATCACTTTTCTTTCATACATGTTGTTGTTACATTTGAATTTTAATCACATTATACTTTTGTTCTCCAACTGTACAAATGAGAACTGTTCTTAAAATTGACAAATAAGAATAAGTTAGGGAAGAGATAAATCCCACAAACGGCAATAAAATTATATTTTTTAATTTTGAAAATGCCACTTGTTTGACACATTAGCTTAACAGTAATAAATTTTTGTTTCTGTGACAAAATATTTAACAATGTTTTTAAATATACAAAATCGCTAACATTTTTAAAACAGATAAAAACATGAGTAATGACAAGATGACTTAACATAACAGCTAAAAAGTCTACTATCACAAGAAAAGACGAGAACTTCATCACAGTCACGCGTGTGATGTTCTGATAAACTTCTGACCAGAGTGCTCATATAAAAATATTCACTTAGTAATTCACATAGGTAAAATGTTTCTTAACAGAGTATAAGATTTTGTTATCCTAAAACAGGGGTCTCCAACATTGTTACCGTAAGTGCCAGATTTTAATACCTTGGAGGCCAGCCAGGCCATGATTACTGGGGGGTATGGAATACCCACCAAGGGTAGAGGGGGGCCCTCCCTGAAAATTTTTGCAAAACGTTACTTGCAAAGTGGACATTTTAATTATTTTGACAAAGAAAAAGGTTTAATCTCTTGCTTACAATCTGAAACCCAATGAGATTAAACTTTTTCTCTTGGGGGTTTAAAAGCAAAACCCCTTTTTCGGGTTGGTGTAATTTTGAGTTGTTATTTTCCTGTTGGTTTATACAAAATCCGAAAGCTTAGTAAAATAATTAAGAAAATACCTAACAGATTATTCTTAAAAGTGATTACGTGTAGAGAGATATCCCTCATCGCTAAAATATAATGTGCAAAACAACCACTACAAACAAATAATGAATTGGTATAAAATAAAATTGCTACCATAACAATTACCATCAAACAAACATTTTAATTTTTCAAGTTATTGTCGGTCCAATATTATTTAAGATAGAG